GGGTCTGGGGGCCTAGCCTGGGAGGGCGGTATTTTCCAGTTTGTTTGGGTCCTGTCAAAAAGACGTGTCAAAACTTTGCACCATGTGGGGGTTGTCATAAGCTGACGGAGTTGTCTCAGACATGCTGACTAGAGAGTAGAGTTTGTTTGCTGGCATTGCTCTTGTTGAATGAAGGAGAGAAATTTGGACCAAGGATTCCAACACTGCTAGCCTACTACATGTACATCTAGAGGTGTTTTGTTTTGAAAATATGTAAAATTGGGCAAGGGGTCCATTTTGACTTGAGATTCCATTAAAACTGGATTGGAATTATAGCTGGTCTAGATGAGGTAGGTACCGTTTGCATTTTATAAAGTTTGAAGTGTAATACCAGTACATCTTAATTCCAAAGTTCGCTTTCTCAAAGTTTCTGCTACATTAACTTTATGGACAGAGGAGATGACTTTTTGTGAAGTTTGGCAAGTCTTATTTGTTGTTTTATTTTTAGGAGATTTTAAGCTTTTAGTTGGCTCATCTCTTCTTCATTCAGTCAGGCATGCAACTTTTCCTCGGATCAACTGATTTCCTCGTTTTTCACTTGACACTTATGCCATTACAAATTGAAAAACATTGCACAAAGTCTTGAAAAGATTGGAGTTTCCTCTTTTTTGGTTTCTTCCAAGTTGCATGCCTGACTCAGTACAGAATTGCCATGTTAACATTATCAATATGGTTGCAATCTGGAAATATTTTTTCCTTTTTTTTATAGGCCTACTTTGTTGCATTCTTCAGTTTGAAACCCACAGTTATAGTCTGCTCCATCAAGAGATCGGATGCCTGTACCCCAGCCTGTGTTTACCTGGTTTAAATCCTTCCTTTCCTCTTTGTCTATCCCCTCTCACAATTATCCCTTTGATCTATCCCCTGCCCATAATCCTCCAGAATTCTTCCTTGATGACAACGCCTCTAATCCTCTGACTCAAGTCAAGAATCGCCCTTAAAGTTAATACTCCCAAGAAGAATGTCCTGTAATAACATAGGCAAACTACTCCAACCACAATAGACAGAAATCTCCAGCGGGACCAAATCACAGCTAAGACGTACCACAAATTTTGGGATTACCAGTCCCTCATGTACCTCGGGAGACAGTGCTGGAATTTCTGCCCCCAACTTCTGCTCTGTACACTACTTGTAGTGTTCAACCATTGAGAAAGAAAACACGTAACTCAGGGCCTGTTTTCAGATTAAATCAAACCCCCACCTTCAAATCCCAAACCAGTTAGCTGATCAGGATAATCCAATGCAAGGGGGGGGGGGGGTCTTTCTGTCAACAGTGTGATGGATGCCCAGCAGGCAAATCTCTCTCTCTCTCCAAAAAGGTGAATCGGGGAGATTATGACAGAAAGCAAACAGTCAACAACGAGCTCCCAAACAGTCTGAAACAGACTCTCGCAAACAAGAGAAGAAAAACTAGTGGCACGGCTGTGATTGTTGAATTGAAAATACCTTTTCACTGGGTTCTCTCTTTCACTTCCCACAATGGGACCAGTATTTATCTCATGATGGTCCTACAGTGGAGGTATTTTTGTACTCTCCTACTAGTACTAGCTGTGGGACAACTTTTGAGTGAGAGGATTAGGGTAACATTGTTGAGCATAATCCTTGCACAATAATTGACCTCTTAATTGCCTCAGGTTTTTTTCTTCTTCAAACATTTTGGAGGATGGAGAGGGGGTTTGGAGAGATTGTTGAACTTTTGGCTCGGTAAACACTATCCTGGGGCATTGACTAAACTGTGCTATATTTATCAGCGGATTCTAGGATACTAGCGAGAGTGCTACACAAAATTTACAGGAAGTCCTGCCAAACTGTATGATGTTTGGTTGTCATACATGATATGAACTTTCATACTTACTTTTTTGTGTATAACTTAACAACGCTTATTCCTTCATTTTAAAATTACATGTACTTAAAAGATTATTTATGAAACCTTTACATGTCTCAGGCCTTCTTAAACTGTGATTGATCATTATAATCTTTGTATTTCTGATTTTCTGTAACATTTTATAATTTTGAACTTTGAAGTACATACATACATTTGCAAGAAGTCCGACACCTCGATTTTTTTAGCCAATCTGTTTGGTCTCCTCTCCACCACCAGTCTACCACCATTATGAAAACTATGAAGGAACTAGAACTGAATAAAGAGTGTTTGTAAATTGTTTTTACTGTCACAGCCTCACAGGTTTCCAGATTATCAGATGACCAAACAAGCTTGAGCAATTAACCACTTGCTGCTGGGATTGTTTTTGGCCGAAAAAACAACATTTTTGTAAAAAGACAAGATATATCGGCCAAATTTTAAAATTAGGTCAAATTCTGACTCTTGAGACTGAGAGACATTTGTACAATATTTGTACGATACTTCTCACCATAACTTCGTATAACTTGCAACACTCCAAGGCCCCGCCACGGAGTGATATTTGCTACGACAACGACTGACTGTGTACAGTGGCCAAGTTCAAGTTCAAAACACTGTGTGTACAAAACCAATGGGAACCACTTGTACCGCCAGAGACTCGGGAAAAGCTTAACGATTTAACCTGTCACCCACCCCTGTGAACATCACCAGACTGTGTTTACACATCCTCAGGCGCATGGTTGAAGGGAATATACATCATTGGCTTTTGCTGTCATTTTCAGAAATGAACTATTTGAGGGGTTAGTATAATAGATCAAATATTGTTACACTGACAGCGTTTGAAGTTTTGTGTTCGAAAATGCTGAAAAAACCAAGAAAAACAAAACTGTTCAAGTAGTCTGGTTCCCTGACTCCACTAAATATAAAATAAATCAATTTACAGATGCCGGAAAATTGTAAGGTAAGGGTACCAGTCTAGTTGGCCTGCACCTGTTCATGAACATATAACCAATAGCAAACAAAATTTGGACTGAATTAATGGTAAATTTGGAGCAGTAGTTGAAAAATAGTTAGGTTTTTCCAACGGTGGTCGGCCGACCACCGCTGGAAATTTTTACAAAAATACCATTTTCTTGAAATGACTTCACACCAGGTGCCATAATTTTACAGGATGCTTTAGACTGTCATTTACCAACATCCTAGTAAGGCATTTCGTAAAAACTTGGTAGTTTTATTTTTCGATGTTTGCAAATGTTGTATATTCCCTTTAAGGACTTCCTTTTTCATGACAGAAATTGACTTCGAGTGAGAACATCTAATTCTGAAGATGTCTAATTTACAAAATTTATAACTTATGCTGAGCATTTTGTTCATCTGTACATGTTAATGAACTTTTTGTCAAGATTGCAACTTGTATTTTGTCTGTTTTTTTTGCTCATTTTCAGTCAGACTGTGGGCTGTGACTACGCGCAAGCTCGTCAAATTTTGGCCTTTCTATCAGACATTTTACCCTTCGATTTATAGAAAGATGACATAAAAGCCGTAATTATTTGAACAAGGAGGATCCCTTCTTATTCCTTGTAGTCCATGCTGTCAAAAGTAAACTAGTGGCCAACAAATAGTCTTTATCTCTGAAGCAATTGCCAGCTTGTTGGCATCTTGTTGTGACTGTGATTGGCTGTCTCTCATTAACATATTTCCTACCCAGGTGTCAATGTCTTATTTACTCAGCAGGTGTTTTCAGTTCGCACCTCCAACCCTCCAGCTGTCCCCCACCCCCTAACCCCCTTTTCACTGCCCCTGGAAAACTACAAAGGGTCAGACACCAAAATCTGGTCCCTAGAGAATGTGTTAAAGGGCAATGCGTAATAAATGATCATAAAAGTTGAATTGGTGCACATTTTTCGTTGTGAAAGTTATGGGTTTTATGGTTGTCAGGACAATTGTTGATTGTGTTTGTTCTGCGCATTGACGGCTAATATGCCCTCTGAGGACAGCCAGCCAAAATAGTGTGGTTTGAACGTGCAATGGTTTTTAGACTTACAAATTTGTAATCAAAGAAGCAAAGTACTTTTTAGCTCCCGGATAGCAGCCCAACAAATCATCATGTCTCTCCATTAGTCTGTTAGTCTGTTAGTTAGTAACAAACGCTGACATTGTCTATTGCTCCTACATATTGTGATCGATTTCAACCAAACTTTGCCAAAAGTATATCAGTACCCCAGCCCCAACATGTCACATGACCAAACTGGGGGCAAAGGTCAACTTGGGGTCACTGGTGTCAAAAACCTGATTTTTTTTTACTCAAAACACTGTACTTCCAGAAATTACATGGCACAATCACGTGACTCATGCATGAACACGAATTACTTGGCCCGCAGCAGCGCAGCTAAGTTCCAAGATCCGATCAAGCTTGTTTTTAATGTAACTTCACTTTTTAAGGACTTGTTACATGTAATTTTTTTTTTTAATGAGGAATGTTGTATTTGATTCTTCTTCTTTTTGGTCGAAAAATTGTATGACCAAGTGTTAAGAAATGTTTAGGGTCAGGTCATGCATGGGGTGTAGAAATTGTTGGGTTTTTTTTGTAGGGGGACGGGCCAAAGCAAAATGGTAGGGAAGGTCTTGGCAATGATTTTCTGTTTAACCTAGTTGGCTGGTATGACATGGGTTTGGGTTAAATCTGTACCTAATGTTGACTTGCTGCTTGTTTGAAATTGGTCTTTGGAGTCAGTTGTGTTGCCGATAACTTCACAATGTAATTCTTTTGAAGATTCTTCGGTGTTAAAGTTATTTGTGCAAGTAATGTGTATTGGTAAGTTTACAATACACGTAATCTACCTGCGTTTTTATTTCTGAATATTCAGCCTAGTTTGTGTCATGAACCACCAGTCACTTGACAAGCCCCTTTAATGCCCAGTCTATATTGAGACCCCAGCTGGGCCCATCCAGGGGTCGGTGACCTGTCTCTGCTCAGGCTGAGCTGTCAAAATATAACATTGTTGCAGGCTGGTTACAGTTTATATTACCCTGTGTGCCTTACTGATTGACAGGTGGCTGAGAGAAAGAAAAAGAAGAACTATGTCACAATCAGAATGCTACAGTACCAGTAGGAGTTTTTTTGCAGATATAGAGTGAAGTTGAATCTGGCCAGTATTTGTCTAATTGGGCTTGCATTGTGTGTGTTCTTCTTTCAACCTTGGAGGAATGCTCCAAAATTCAACTAATCAAAGTGGTAAGGTACGCACTTTTCAGACCCAGGAGGGGGTGGGTGAGGGGGTGTTGATTGTGGAGCTGGCTGCTTGAAATGCAATACAGCAGCAGGCACCACAATGACAGGCTATTTTGATGAATTTTCTATAGTGCAGGTGATGTAAATTTTAATGTTGGGTTTTGCCCTTCACAGTTGTAATGTTACAAAGAGTGCGTTCGATTACTTCCCCCAGCTTACTCATGCCTGGCTCCTCGCGTGATGACAGACATGCGCAGTGGAGCTAAATAAACAAACGGTTTCGGGTAAAGTTTCGTGCAAGAGCTGGAAAGTTGAACTTTGACATGACACTGATCAGGCGCCCGCTGGACGTCACGTTGGCAGCCATGTTTGTTGCATGGCCTTATGGGATACTTACCCAAGTAACTGGCTCGGTGAGTCGGTTACTTGGGCCAGGCTCGAGTAAGCATGAGAAGTCACGTGAGAAGTAAATCGAATGCTGTCGTGCTTGCATGAGTAAGCGCGGGGGAAGTAATCGAACGCACTCAATGTGTATGATCTGTGTTTTCAAAGAGTCTTGAAATGAATGTTACAAAGTGTATGATCTGTGCTTTCAAAGAGCCTTGAAATGAAGGGCTTGTCGATCACTTCCTGTATGAGATGGACATTTCTGCCTGGTCCGTTGGTTTGCTTGCATCACTGCTTCGGTCCTCCATCCTCCATCCAGCTAACCATACATTAACCTCCCTACCTTGACTACAAATCAGGCCAGGGCCGTATTTTATGCATCACTGTAGTCTTGTGAAGGAAAGTCTTAAACTCACCGTCCTTGATGTTGCATGCCATCACAGACTCTTCACAATTATCAACTCACTCGGACACTTTGTTCAAGTAGCATGAAGATACTCTGTATTTGCTTACAGCTTGGCAAATCGCAATGATTGAAGTTGAGTGCTTTCTGAGTCCAGCGAGGATATCTGAATAAAACCTGAGAAAGTAGACTGCATTGTCCAAGTATATTTGAGTCGTTTTGTTGTGGGTAGAAACTCGAGTACAAGTATTCATTCAGTGTGATTTAACCCGAACGTACGGGGACCTGTATCCATTAAAATCCACACCCCTGTGTAAGAGTATTTCGGCAGATTCAGGATATCTCCTTATTGAAAAAAGTTGGGGGATTTTTATGGATTTAAGACAGTAAGCCTAGCGGTACTGCAGGATTTTGATGGATTAAAGATATCTCCATATTGAGCAGTTGGGGGACTTTCATGGATTCATGATCTCAACAGTTGAACTCCTTGGCTATAAATGTTTGGTGTGTACGAGGTACTGATACATGTACATGTACATGTATATGTGCTACACTGGTGGCTTTTGAAGGATTCACTGGTGGATTCTGATAGACTGCGGACACCAACATTTTTTGTGCATGACAAAATTGATGGATTTGGCAGATTCATGATACTTTCTAGTAAAAATACCCAAAGGGTGAGGGTTAAAGACGTATAAAAAATACAGAGAATACTTTTCCATCATCTGATTTTTACCTAGTGCATGAAGATGGAAAATTGTTCTCTCTCTAATTGGCCTGAGGGTATGGATCTGGAAGCAGCTGCCCGTTCTCCAGAAGACATGCATAATTCATCAGAGCGCTGGGGTAATTTCTTAGCTGGGAAACATTCAAATATTTATGAGATTGCCTGGTCATGCTGACATAACTGTCAGTAATATGACATTCTGTGGGTTCGTTGCTATGGGTATTTGGTCAATCCAAGGACAAATTGGTCTTTGTTTTGGTTTGAACATCAATGAAGCCAAATATTCTTGTTTGTGATTGGATTGTTTGTAGTTAAAGTTAGTAGTTAGATAACCAGTAACAATTGCTACACATAACTTATTTGGTTGAAAAGTGTACAATTCCACTTGCCAATAGTTTTCTCTGTTCATACACTTGCCTCAAATTCTGAGTCAGAAACTGGCCCAGCACTTCCTCACATTTTGAAAGTAACAAATTTGTCTTGCCAATGCATCCTATTAACCAAATTTCAGAAAAAGAGGCAAAAAGCTGTGATTTCAAATCTAAAATGTGTGATAAATAGGGGGCTATAGCAATGTTCAATATTTTTCATGTTCTCTATTCATTCTATCATGTCCTTTTTTAAAGTAAATGTACTTCTTCCATCACTAAGACCCCGTTCCCACTTGATCCACCAATTGGGGGATCTGATCCACCTTTTGCCAAATTGCCGGATCAGATCCCCCAATTGGTGGATCAGATCCGGCAATTGTGTGTAGTGGGAACGCTAACCGTTATAAGGTGGATCAGGATCAGATCCACCTTTTCTGATCCACCTCTGGACCAGGATACAGATCCCCCAATTGGTGGATCAGATCCGGCAATTGCCGGATCACGATCAGATGGGAACGCAAAAGGTGGATCTGATCCGGCAATTTGACCTGTTAACATCCGCCCGGTGCACGAGTGGCGTGAAAATGTTGCGGTCTCATGAACGAAGAAACACGTTTTCAGGCGTGTAGCTCATGTGAACATTTCCAGCGTTTACAACATGCACAATAAACAACCGCTGAACTACGGGCTAGCACCGCGCATGCAAAAGCGCACGTGGTATCCTAAAACTACAATATAGGCCTTATTTTTGTTGCGTGTTCGTCCATTACTAAACCTTTTTCATTCCTGAAATTTTACTTATTTTTCCATCCATAAATGACTCTGAGTCTGCACTCACCAAAAGACTTCACTTTGGCACAGAATCATGGAAAAGCTTACGAGTATGCGATGAGAATAGTGCCGATAACGCGGTACGTACGGAGGTGACACATCTGAAGTATTGATTATAGAAAATTGGAAAATGATGTCGTAGTACATCATGTGACCGTTTCTAATCAATGAGAAGCTTCAGAACCAGGGAATCCCTTATCGATGCATTGGTTTCTGCCGTGATGTCACACGTGAGCGGCTCTGTTGGATTTCACCTTTTAATTTATGCACGCACGGATCCTCTACGGATCCGTGATTTATGTTGGTGAATTCGCGTAATTTTTGTCTGTGAATTCTGATAGTGCTGTTTGAAAACTGACCCATCCTGGCCTAGCATGCAACCATGCAACAATGGCACTCCCACAGAGCGCGCGTAATTCCGAACTCAGTGACCTTTCGGACCCAACATTTTGACGAAAAGGTGGATCAAGCATAAGTGGGAACGCGACTTGCGGTTTCGTTGCGGTAAGATAACGATCACACCAAAATGCCGGATCTTGATCCACCTTTTTCCAAATCAAGTGGGAACGCGGTGTAAGTTCCATGTCACTTGTTGGACCTCTCCATGACCGGAAAAGAAAAAGAAAGAAATGAAAGGTTCAAATTATCCTAAACCGTGACATTATACATTGTGACAAGAAAACTGATGAAAAGGATGTAACAATATTTACATAATTATAACATAATAATCAAACAAGGTCCTGTAATAAACTACATCCGTAATGTTGGATTGTTTCCAGGCCCCTTCCTCTCTTAAGACCATTTCCCAATTGGGAATTTCTTGTGCCTTAGGCCTTATTTCTTATCATAAAATTCCACTTTAACTGTGCATGGACATGGTAAGAGCATAGTGAGAAAGGAAAATTGATTTCATGAGGAGTGTTTTCCCCTAACTCCCAACCATGTGTTTTCCTTTAAAGCCGCACAGCCAATCTACACCTAATGATCATGGTTGCTTCAATCAATCATCGCGGATAACAAGTCTCACATGATTATGTATATGTGTACATGTGGCATGTGTTCATGTGCATCATCTTGGATTGGCAACATTTGTACACATGGCTAACATATGTAGTTTATTAGCTGTTTGTAATATGCTCCCAGCCAGTATCTTTTCCCCTGGGGGCATTTGTACTGTCACAGCTGGCAGATCATCAGGTTTAATCATCTCAGAAACGCTGGGCTCTAAGCATCACTGTAGTGTATATTGTTCCTTGAGTTGGCGAGTTTGTTCATTCAGATATTAAGAACCCTGGTGGATATTGCGAGGTAAGGTTGTCTGTTGATGAGCTTAGGAAGGTTTTAGCAAGTACGGAACTTGGATGTTTGTGGGCAAGGAGTTCAGTGCTTTCTCTTGTTGTTCGATTCTTCCCCCTTCAGTATGATTTGTGATTAACTTTCTCAAAATGTTGCTGATTATGATCTGGAACAGCTTTTTTTTCTTCAGTTTTGGTGTTTAAGTTGTAACTATTCAAATTGCGATTGGATATTGAAATTGCACTTGATATTTTGGCTTAGCAACTATTTGTTAAAATGTGATGCAATCAAGCTACATGAGTCATTTGTCGACCCTGGTAAAAAAAAGTTATATTTGAAAAGAGCACAATCTCAGCATTACTGCTGTGAAAACTGTATGCTGGTACCATCTTTAGTTCAAAAATTATGGAAGTTGGAACACCAAGAGATGTGATGAAGTGGTCCTATTTTGGCCTGAATCTCCAAATAAACATTCCTGACAAATGACTCAAACTTGATCACATCACAAATGGTAAATTTGATTTGGGTTCTATGTCTTGCATTGTGTTTGACTACTTTCCAAATGTACCATCTGTTTGTGCATTGAGCAAACAGTGTAGGCTGGAGTAGGCCTATTGTTCCAGATTTTGACAATTGCTTTACATTTTAATCCTGTTCCAAAAGTGGTTTGACAGTGAAATCCTGAATGTGCCATGGGTAAAGATGAAAGATCCTGGACTTGTTGAAACTATAGACTGAATTTTGTGATGAAAATTGCAGTTGATGTGAATGCAGGGTGGCAGTTTACAATAGGAAATTGTTACATTAACCAGTTCGTGCCGGAGGACATGTATACACGCCAAAGTTTTTCGAAATTCAGATCGGATGACATACAATTTCCCGCATTTAATGAGCGAGGCCAGAAATATCTGTGAGCAACCCACTCGCAGCGAGCGCGGCCCAATTGCAGGGTGTGCTACCCGTAGATCATGCCTGAACCCGTCTGGCATCAAGGTTCGTGGAAAATATTCCCAGGCCTGGGTCTGGTCGCTGTCAAAATAAACCGACTTGAACTGGTTAAATTTATACATTGTACAGTATCAGACGCATATAACTGCTAACATTTAATTAGGGACATTGTTCCAGATACGTGTGGATTTTGTTCCATTTTGATATGCCATATTATTGACCCTTTTCATCCTCCATTCACAACCTGACCTTAAGCTCATCCTCAGAATCAGATTCAGTTTCTCAACCAAGTCCCTCATTAATCACATCATTATCCTCCTCATCTTCAAGCAGTCGCTCCAGACGCTCGCCCCTCGCTAACCCATGCTGAGCTCTCAACCTATTTTCTTTTTATCTCCCCTTTTCCTGCAGTGCCGGAGTTTTCGAGTGTCCGGAAGATCGGCTCCCCTTAGATTACGCCAAGGTAAGTGGCCTCTTCAAATTTTCAGAATATTTCATCCTTTGCTTTTTGACGAGAAAATATGTTTGGAATCATTGCGGGTTATTGTTGCGCAGGGATCGTGATTGTGTAGTGATGAGCCATGCTGAGGAGAGCCCGTCCTTGGATGCTTCAAGTAGTAATTATTTTCCGTCGTGATATTTTGTTCACGACATGAATTATTATCTGAATGGGATGAGAGAAGGGTCGGCATGGGCTAGACCTTGGCTTATAGAAAAGATTCCTCCTATGTTTGTGATGGGGGGGGGGGGGTTAGGTTGTAATCCATTGTCATTAGTTAGGCTCTGAAGAATCAATATGAGATATCAAGGGATCGACATGGGGTAAGCCTTTTTGTCAAAAGAGCTGAATCCTCACTCTATTATCTCCTGAAAATATTTCTGTTTTTGTTGTCGTCCTGAAGGCTTTTTGTGATAACAAATGGTATGTTTGGATTGGTATGCTGTGATGCGAGGGATTTAGAGGGAGGTTTTGTCTTATTGAATAGGATTTTATTCTTTAGTTTGGTATCAGATAAATATTTTTCTTGACAGTGGACATATTGTGTTCAACTATGCCCTCCCTCTGACCTCTCAGAAAAGACTTTTTTTTAATAGAAAATCAAACCTTATTCTGTCTGTTTGTCATTGCTGTTATCCATATATAATTATAGGCATTTTAAAAATTTGTTTTATTGTTGTAAGTTGGCATGAGGGCATGCTTTTGTGCAGCAATCCGGACAAATCTTGCAGGGCTACCCTCCCCCGGCCCCCAGTCAATGTTGTCTCTCATTGCGCGGTCTGTGGTACAGGCTGGAGATAATAACATTGACCTGGGGGAGAGGGGGATTGGGGGACCAGGGCAGGGTATGCTTGTTGTCACATGTCCCAACCATTGTGGCCGGGAATGAGCCTTCATCTAGAACCAGTGTCCCAATTCATATATCCGAGACGAGTTCCGGATTTATAGTTGCAGACTCTGTTGCAGGATTTTGAACAATTTCCCCGCAATCTTCCCGCAATGAAGTTGTCAGTATTGGTGAGTTAAACAGTTGGTACTGAAAATTTCCCCGAACATATCTTGGACAAATGCAGAGCTTCTTCCGGACAAAGTGAACGATTCTACCTGCAACTTGTCCGGAACTCTTCCAAGATATGAATTGAGACAGGCCCTTAGATCAAGAATCTTTTTTTATATATACCCACTCCACTCCCATCTCATCTCATCTCAATCCCACCCTTTTCCTCCCTACCCCCCTCGCCTTCAACCCTCCCCCCCCCCCAAAAAAAATCATCTCCTAATTATTAGAGTAAAACATAAATAAACACATTCATTGTAGACTGAAGTTAATCTTTTTTTTTAAACTAATATTTTTTTCAGCCAAAACGAAATTCTTACTAAAGCTGCAACTTCTAAGAAAAACTAAAATTACAGACCTCAGTTCAGCAGTTCTTATGGCAAGTCACTCTTGCATGTACATCGCTTCTGAGCACATCATTGTGGCAGACAATTTCACCCCGGCTCCGTAATAAATAATAAACTCCTCCACTGGAAAAAAGTCTGCCCTCCGCCTACCAGCTCCACATCTCGCCTAAAATTTATTACCTCACGTGCTAACCAAAAAAAATGCAAGACGTGTGTTTGGTCACGCTTGCTCATCCATGCTTCATTCATCCAATTTCTCCTTTCACTTGCCGCACTTCGCTGCCCGATGCGTTCTTTTCCCATCACGTAATTTGTAATGATGAAGTGCCGCCAGGTTCATCACCGCGCTTGACAGGCTTCGACGATATTAAAAATCAACCCGCAAATGCACTCCCCAAGAAAACCAAACTTCTGTGCATTTTTTTTTCTCGCTCGATCGTCTTTCTATCTCTATACGGGGCCAACCTCATTGAGAATTCTACCCACCAAGTAGCGGCACGTCATTTGTCAACTTGGTTGCGGTGACTAGAGACAAACGTGGCCGACATGTACGATCTGCTTGATGAAGCCGACCGGAGCCTGTACAAATAAGCCAGGGTTTTTTTCTTCTTCTGTGTCGCTGATGTGCTACTCACACACTCGGAAACATCCAGGATTCTAGGCTGATATCGATGTAATCTTGTTAACGTGACACTCAGTTGGATGCACTCTGCACCTAAGTTACATGCAGCTCGGTTACCTTCCAGTACACTTCGAGTGCAAACATTTGTCGGGCATTTTTGCAGATCTTGTTCTCAACTATCTTCATCAACTATGCCAGTTTCTACTGCATCAGGGTTACCCACGTTCAGAGCTGTAAGATAATACCACTTTTTAAATTTATTCTATTTTTCTTCCCATCACTTTCCAAATGTCCTCTTCCCCTACCCTAAGTTCCTAACTTCTCATCACAGCTTTCTGCACAGTTTTCAGGAAGAGCTATTGTTCACCCCTTAGCGCACTACGTTTGTCTATTCATGAAAACAGAGATGGTATTGTAGTTATCCAACTTTTAGAGTCGAGTCCATAGTTCATCACTAGTCAATCACAAGCCTTCCAGTCTAAAGACATCACAAGCTATTCAAATGAACTGTAACAAAGGCATTCCTTTGTTTTTTATTCATCCTCTGTTGTTTGTTACATGACTTGTGAATTTACTTGTAATTACGTATTTGTAATGAGAGCAGTGATGGCCTTATAATGAACTTGACTACCACACTGCTATGGAGTACCAAAGTGTGAGGTCATTAAGAACCAGAAAGTGTAGTGCAAACAAATGGAGTACGCGCGCATGTTGGTTCTCGGGCTGAATCACGCGCTAATGTCTTTTACACACATTTTGTGCGCGTGACGTATTCACTTCGGTACTCCATTAGGGGGGATCCAGAAATCAAATTTTTTTGGGGGGGGGGGGGGGGGGAGATCAAAGAAAATTTGGTCCCCAAAAAAGTGGGTGCAAAAATTACAGTGTGGGGTTCGAGCCTCGAAATTTGTTGGATTCTAGATGCTCTGTACGTGGTGCAATTTCTGACCACTTTGACCAATTTTCTTTTGAGGGAAAGAAGGTGGTGGGCGCAGTGCCTGCCTTTATTGCGACGCCACTTAAAAAAAAAAAAAATCAATTGGGTTCGTTTTGGGGGGGGGGGCATGGCCCCTGTTGGCTGCCCCCTCCCTGGATCCGCCCTTGACTGCTAAATCTCTATCCTTTCTGTATCTGACTTTCTCATCCGAGTCTTTTTTTTGTCATTTTGTCCTCGCTTTAATTCACGATGTCATTCATCGTTGTGTTCTCCTTGTCTGCTCTCGCACACTCTCCCATTAATGTCTCGCTGAGCTCTTAGCCCCGTCATCTGATGTCACTCTTCAGAGCTCTCTGTCCATACACAAGTCACTAATGTGATGTTGCCGTTCAAGGTTGCGTGTTGCAGTCAATACTTGTATACAAATATGTCTCTGTAACAGATTTAAAGCAAGCTTTTAAGACTTACGAAATTTGTGCCTTAATGCAAGGTACCATAAAGGAACCCTATTGTGCCTTTTTCTGTTTGACATTTTGTTCTTGGTATTTACTGTACAATGAACATACAGGATCTAAACATATGTGCACTTTGTAAAAAAAAATGGCAAAAGTATGCCTCATGTTTTAAATTGTGTACCTGCTTTTTAATCAACATATTCTTTTATCTTTTTTATCGTAATAATAATAAGGGAATAATTGTGTGCTTGGGAGGTGTTAAACAATATGTTTGAGACTGGTTGGAGTCTGGATGCTGATAATTACCTGAGCCGAACTTATTCGGTCAAAAAAATCAAAACATTTTCGGTCCAAAACAAGTCAAAAATGAAAAAATTTCCAACAATTTTGTTCAACAATTTCACTTCAAGTTTTTGAACACCCCTTTGGCTATATAATGGAGAATCCAGCTCGGGAGTTAGGCGTAAACAACTCCTTTTGTGTAGATTGGTGCACGCATTGCGCGTACTGCGCGATGTCGCGCAGATGCAGCTGTGGCAAGTGCATTGTGAATTTATGACTTAATGAAAGACAGACTCACTGGTATTGCGCATGCCTACGTGAGGATTGTGAACGTTCAACCAATAAAACGGTAAAAGCACTGGATTTCATAGGAATCCAAATTTCATGTGACACTGAAAAATTGTTTAAGACAGGCAGCCGGTCTTTATCATCTGTTTAAAACCAGCCATGTGACGGGCTCTCGACCAAAGGGAATGGGTAAACTGTCTTAGGTATTTATAAATGTCTTGAAAAGGAAAAAAAAAATACATATTGCCTTTTTTATATAACCTTTATTTACCGTGCTGTTAAATTGGTGGTTTTTTTAACATTAACCCTTGAGCGGGCCTGGGACCCCACGCCGTATGGGCTTTGCGCTCGCAGGTTGAGCTATTTTCAGCTATTTTTTTAGAGCTCCCCTCACACCCCTTACAAAAAAGAACATTTGTGGCTGCTACATGCATACATCTGCCTGCTTGATCACAAAAGGTTTGCTCATCCATAGAACATTCGTAGGAAGATCCTGTTTGTCATTCGCAAAATGTAATTTGTTTCTTTAAATAGCAATCTTTACACATTCCCGCCCTGTCAGTTTGTTACTTAACACTAGGTAATCAACCGAAGACATGACGTCTGCACAACTCATGTTGTCAAAACAAGTCGCTGCTTTTACCACCAGTCAATCCATGTATTTTTTCCTGTCTTGATTTATTCGGCAGATTTACCCTGACGACAAGATGTCAGAAGAGATCATGTCACTGGCGGTTCGCTGCTCTTTCTACAAAGATGGCTGCAAGTGGATGGACAAGCTAAAAATACTGCAGGTAACTCGGGCTGACAGAAACAATTTGCATAATTCTTGCTCTTTTAGTCGCCGTGGAAACGGGACTTCGTTGCACTGATGGAGAAGACGTTGTAATTGAAATGCCAGTTGTGTCAATGCACTTTTATTGTTGGCGTACAAGTACCGTACATGTGGAATATAGCATCTGTTCTTTTCCTTTGATATTTTCTCAAGACTATCTGAAGGCGAAGTGATGCAAGAATTTACTGATTAGTCTGACAGAGAATATTTTTGTCTGTGGGCTTGACCAAAACAAATTGTACATACCGTACATGTAGAATGCCCACTTGATTGTGTTTATAGACAAAAAACTGTTAATTTTATTCATCTTAGAATTGGCAAATGTTGCATCAGTTAGCTTATTTGAATTTTGACAAAGAAGGCTGAGTTGTGTGTGCAATTTCACCTATCAGCTTTGTGTACTGATGTCTGTGTAAATGTAGACCATTTTGAATACTGAACATAATGACATTTTGAAAAAGAACATAAAATTATACTTTCTACACTTATGTTCAGAGGCATATATTTGCTCAAATATGGTTCAGTGTCAAATTGGTTTCATAATCCCGTCAATGTACTCTCTAGAAAAGCATACATGTACTTATGTCCTCACTCTCAAGTTTTGAGAAAGAAATATTTTCTTTTCTCTTGCAACAGTCACAATAATAAAACACAGAGATTTTCACCACAAAGTAAGATATTGCAGAGCAAGGCCACATGTTGTTCAAATGAACACCACAATCTTTCAAAGCAGGGTGCTTGTTATGATAGTAAGCAACAAACTGTAACTTCACGCTTCAACACAACCCACAACCATCTTTAATTTCAGTGGTGGCATCCCCAACTCATCTGGAGTTCATATTCTGTTCAGTTTCGTCGCAGTAATGACCCTAACTAAATAATACCAGCTGGCAATATGGTGCTGCATGGGCAATAATATTACATGTACAAGAAACTATCTTCCAATAGCATAATTAAATTTGAGTCTGGTATGGCATGACAAAACAAATTTCCGGTGTAATTTTATATTGTTGTGCCATCATTATCAGGTTTTCTGTTAAGGCTGAATGGTTACAGTTTGAATGCCGATTCACTTCGCTGACTTAAAAATGCAGTATAAAGTTTTAAATTACAACAGTTGATGACTGTGGCAGATGGGTTCTTGATAGCGTGCACTGAAGCCTGAAGAATGTTTGTCTCGTATGCAAAATGAGAACGTGTTTACAACGTCATGGTAAATGAACTTCACACAAGCGTTCAAGCTTACATGTGTTATGCTGTGACGCTGTTTACAAGATATTGCACGGCATCTGTTTGATGTCATAAACAAAAAATAGTTTGAGCTATAAATGTTTGTTGTAGTTATGGAGCCTAACACAATAGTTTGAGAACTATTTTGCCAGGCTCCATAACTACAATAAACATTTAGCCTAATATCCTTTTAAAATAATTTTGATTCCTCAAGCATTCTTTCTTGCTCAAAACAAGGATAGAAATGATTGTAGTTTGAAATTTCTCATCAATTTTGATGAGATCCACTTTTGTATCAAACTTCTCAGAACAAAAGTTTGCAGACTGCCGATCTTCATTTTGGTTGAACCTATGAATTAGAAGTAAAAAAGAAGCGATTTATACAAATTTAGAAAGAGTTCAGTCTGTCAGGCTTAAAGTGAAAAAAGTGAATTTTTTCTCCAAAAAGGCACATGGGTTCCCAATATTTCATCACATTCTAGAAAAGACTTGCCGCGACATTGTTTGGGTACACGTACGTTTAAAAATCCCTTTATTTTGCACCAGATTAAAAATGTGCATCTCTGGAGAAATTATTACTCCATTCACACCTTCAAAATTTGCTGTAATTTCTACTGGTTCCGAAATCTCATGCATAAATGATGCAATTTAGCACCAGTCCGCTTGGTCATCTGCCCAGCCCCCACGCCTCATTTGGCTTTGAAATGCACGCAGTAGTAGTGCACTTCTGTCGTGATGAGGTGTCGATGTGTGCACAGAATGGATGATCCAATTTTCTAGCAGGCGTTATTTTCTTGTGTGTGTGTTGGCTCCTTGCTTCGGTGACCTGTACACACTCGTAATATCGTAATAACTTGCCGAGTGCCTCTAAAATATTAATTGTTGGAGCGAGATGAAGTCTCTATACATCAAGTGGCGCTGTTTGGTGTAGCAGCTGAAGGAACTAAATATAGATTCCTGGAATAAGGTTGTGCAGAGGCCAAGTTGATATTTTTTCTTGCAAACGCCTGTCCATCAAATAATTATAATCTGTATGAAATAAAAAGCTGCTGCAAACTGCTCACCACCAACATGTAATTACGTGGGGTGCTGTGGTCCAATACATGGGGTGCTGTGGTCCAGTGGTTACGGTGTTCAACTCATGTGCCATGGTACATGGGTTTGAATCCTGACGGGGAACATGGTGCTTGTGCTCTTGAGCAAGGCACTTTACCATAATTGCTTCTTCTTCTGGAAGGGACGTAAAGCCATAGGTCCCGTGTGTTGTGTAATGCACGTTAAAGAACCCAGTAACACTTATCGCTAAGAGAAGGGGTTTGCCCCGGTTTCTGGCATGGTGGCTGCAATATGCACCACAGCACTTTGTAAACCCTTATGAAGGTGCTACATAATGGGTCTCATATTTCTCATAAACTTCATTTACCTGTCTTTAAAAATAGACATGATAACCAGCGCCTTGAGTACCTAATTGTTGGTAGATATGTATGTGCGCTTTGTAAGACTCCGGTATTATTACATGTATAATGAGCTTGTAACTTAAATACATGTAGCACTTTATGCCAAAGTCTCAAAGTGCTTCGCAGTTAATTACCCCTGTTCATCATGCCATGGCATTAGTTTACTGCAGCAGCTTGAGATCAGCGCAATCTGGTATCTACCCTTACAGGTACACATTTATACTCCTGGGTGGAAAGAGGCAATTGTAGTAAAGTGTCTTGCCCAAGAACACAAACACTCTGTTCTCATCAGGGTTGGAACCAGTACCTTACACATGAGAGTATTACGGCCATTGGATCACACTTCTCCATGGTAACCCTTGGTACATGTAAGTGAGAAGGCCATACAATAAATTGGAGTCGTCATTTGTAGAAATCGATACGGCATTTTAAGTGAAATTGAATTCAGTAATATCTTGCATTGTATCAGTTTCCGCTTGATGATATGAAGCTCTTTCTTTGATTACTACACCATATGGTGACCAAAGTACAAAACACAGGATGGTCTTTATGAAGTCTGGTGAGTTTTATCATTCAGTTAAAGCTAGAGTCCATCATTTGCAGCCATCCGAAAAGTAACTGGCGAAATTATTGTTGAAAAACAAACTTGGTTAAAAGATAGTAAGGGAACTAAACTCCCTGTGAAATTATTCTTTCTGGGAAGCTGTCATTTTGAATTAATCAACGAAAGAAGGCATTTCCAACGGTGATTCTTAAGAAGCACCGTAGGAAAATTTAAATTAGTAGTTCGTTTTGTTATTCAGCGCAGCGCGCACAAGTATTGGAACGACGCACACGCGCGCGCGGTTGTTGTAATTCGTCGGATCAATTCAAAACATGATTCAGTAACTTTTGATTTGAAATTGAGATCTTAGAATGCTGTTTTTCTCGGAATGTACAGCTGAAGCTTAGCTGAAACTTCATCAGGTTAGTTGCTCAGTATCCTTCATTAGATTTTGAACTCTTTTGTTGCTTCAAACGAACAAAATGCACAAATTACAAATGATGGACTGTAGCTTTAAGTACAAGTGTATTAATAATGTCCCCAAAATTTGGATTGTTGGTAGAGGATACATAATCGGAGTTTGAAGTTGTTCCCCTATGCCTCCACTCCCTTTCTGATCATACACATCATATCAGTGGCACCACAGTTTCAATTTTAAAGGGTTTCTTTTAAAGAAATTCCTGCTGCCCTACCTTTATCCCTATCTGTCCAGAACTAAATTTGTGGAATTGTATCCCTCAGTAGTAGCCCATGCAATTGCTCATAGATTTGTTTGTATAAGTTGTGTGCTGTATTTGTAGATATCGAAAATTTGATTTCTGGCACTCTCTGAAAGTTTCGGTTTGGTCCATGTTCACACTGCATTTGTGAAATTTTATTAACATGAATTCCAACGATCAAAGCGAACTCTTTCATTAAAAAAATATTTGCATAAAACCACACTGTGACATTGGAGCAGCTGATGTATCAAGCTAATTGGATTGCCATAATTAGAGAGTTTAAACTTGACCAAATTAACTACACCTTCTTTTGAACCACAAATGAACCAAACAATGATCTTGGCTTAAACAGGATCCGCCGAAACGTGAGTTGTCCTCTGGCTGCAACTGACCAGCTCTAGCATTTTAACACCATGCCCCCCATACTTGTCACATTCATCGAAGAGGCCTATTAACTCGGTAACCGATCCCTGCATCCCTCGGTCCCCAGGTGCTTGTAGACTCCTGCCTTGAGGATATTATACTTGGGTCCGGTATTTCTGATGTCATATTAATAGAAATATCACCAATAGAAATATCACTACGTGCCTGTCAATTTCCAGCAGTCTGCATATTTTTCGTTGATGATTGGCAGTGGCGTTTTGTTTGATCACAGTTTATTCCCCTTGTTGAGGTTTCTGTAAGCTTATCCTGGCATCACTGTCAGTCACTTTTTGCCGGTGATTAAATTAATCATAATATAATCGTATTATTTTTTATCAAGTAAACCTATAATTGAGTATTGACATATGGCCAAGTCCGCAAAACTAATATGGATACAAGTATGATGTAAAATAAAGGATAGTCTTTGTGATTATTTGTAATCAAGGTAAATTGATTTACACAACAAATTTGAACTGTACATGTAGTGAGCAGCTGAAGGTATAAACTACATGTAATTCAATAAAAAAAGACCTCGAATTATGCAGACTTTTAAAAGAAGTTAGTTCGTAGTGACCATAGCAACTACAAGCAGCCAGAACTGAAATGCCCATAGTTTCCAAAGATTACCAGCATTTTCAAGTTTGTTTTTAGTGAAAGTGTATGCAAAGTTGAAGCATACGGTAGATACTAAAACAAGTCTAAATCGTGCAGATCACATAACAGTTTTAAAAAGTACTACTTTGTTTTCCACTTTTTGATGGGAAAGTGAAAGAATTCGCCTCATTCAGGCAATGCTCCTTGGGAATCATTGTACGCTTTGGGTTGCAGGGTTTTGTTCAAGCAAACATGTAATCCTTTTTAAATGAGTGTGCGTTCTCGCGGGGCCATTTGCTTCATTAGTTTGAAGGTGACAGCCATTAGTGTTTCCGTAGATCAATTTAATCAATGTCTCGGTTCTTAGAAGTACGCATACAGATTCGCCTGTGCATGATCAGTAGCAATCCTCACATGGCATTGTTTATTGTAACTGTGGCATTATTTATTGTTACGCCATACATTTATGTCATACGAAATGCGGTAGGACAAATCTCAAATGAGTTCAGAGAACTTGGGGGAGGTTGAAGATGTGCGAGTTTGTTTCTGCATACAGTAGGGGACGTTGAACAATAGAGGAAAATAGGGTCCCCGATCTCCCGAAGGTCCCCAGTTTACAATCATGTACAAAACATATGGGAGGTCTTCCTAAAAAGTTATACGAATAAAAGAGGGACAATAGGGGATCCCCGATTGCAGGCAAATACATAAATGCGTATATGTACCCCCATTCCATGCACATATGTATTGTAGCAGGTATCAAAATACAAAATCTGGCTTTTCACGTTTAAGAGAATGTACTTCAGAGGCAGAAATTTGTTTATACAGAAATGTCCAAAGCTTCTATTGTGGAAATATGGAAATATCCATGGTAGCAATGTTGGACATCTACTGTTTCAGTGGTAGAATTTATGTCCAAAAGAATGGGAAAAAAAGGTTTTTTTGGTAATTGAAAACACAAATTGAAAATGTATAGAAATAAAAATTGATTTTGTTGAAGAGCACAGGAAACACAACATTAAGCAAATTTGGCCAAGGTAATATGTAAGTTTATACAATCTTACATGAAGCTTGTTTTGACATGTTAAACTTTAAAGAATATTTATAAGCAAAAATTCATGTAGTAAACACAAGCAGCATAATTCCTTTTTCTTTCTGGTTCATTTCGCGCCATCGTCCTCGTCCTGATGCCGCTGGCCAGCAGATCTGATTATAACCCCTGAGTGTCTGTAATTGGGTTTGCTACCTGACCTAGACACCATTATCTGTTGGTTGGTGTCTCCAGGCGTCTGTTTGTCTGATGGGGGGGGGGGGGTAGTAAGGCATGATAGAGAGGCTTTAGGGGTAGGTATGATGTGTTGTGGGGTTGATTGGGTGGTAGCATGGAAGATTGTGATTGTTTTTCCGAATTGAAAGCAAGTCCTTGAGGTATTCATTAATTCATCTCCCTTAAATTTGGCCTTAAAATGTACTGTCCAGTGTACAGAATGTGGCAGTCCCCTTGACATCTTTCACTAGGTTATGGACAGTGTCCGGTAAAAGGATTACAGAGTAAGGGGGAAGAAATTAAATAGATTGGAATTCCTGCCATTTTGAAATTGAAATGTGGTCGCATAAAATTTGAAATGCATAATTCGAGGACAACAGTATCGTGCATGTTGAATGCAAGATTTGTCTTTTTTAAAAACAAACATTACTTTGTAGCGCCATACTGTTCAAACAACTTGTCAGTATTTGATGTGAGAAAGCAGGGTAGCCCCGTCATATACACATAATGTAGATGTTCTGATTGGCATTATATCTATTTGCAAATGGCTCTTATACTGGTATTATTTTCTGTATATGGTTCATCTAAGCATGTCTGCACTGTGTGTTTAGCTTTGGAGCCCAGAAAGCTGCAGTGGAAAGTGAAACCATGTTGAAATGTTTACACAGTTGCTGAATGTAAACATTTCACATTTGATAGCTTCCTTTCATCGAGTGGCATCTTGTATGTGTACATTTAACACGTTGACTGCCGACTACCAATAATCGACTACCAATATAGTCGTACTTGACAGGCGTACCAGATGCCACTACGAGGATACTTGTAGTAAAATAAAAGCTTTTGTATTGTAAACTGAATATACTGGTGTCACTGAAAACGCAACAAATTCGCTGCGGGCAGTTGTACTGCCGATATCAGAATTTTTAATAATGGATATCGGGAATCCAATATCAGGAATATTCGATATATCGATTATCCCATGTAAAAGTGAAATAAAAAGATGACACTTTGATTTAAAAACAAACAAACAAACAAACAAAAACAATCTAAAGTCCCAATTTGCCACGGCTTTCTCTGGAGCATATTGCTCAAACTTTTTAAAACAAATCTCATCACTGAGAGTTAAACACAAACGTTAAACACAAAGTAAAAGCTCAAACGGGAGATTTATTTTGACGATAATCTGACGCCTTTGATGTTTTCGGTATCATTACCTCAGTATTGAAAAATTTGATATTTCGATATGATTTAAAAACTGCTTTTGGGGATATCGATATAAATAATATCAAGTAATCGAGAAGTTGAGAACAAAATTCGGTCGCACATGGATATGAAACTAAAAGTCTTTATCAATTATGTTACAAAACCAAACAAGAATCCCATGTTTACAATTGTTTATACAGCAGTAGCAAGGTTTATTTATGCAAAACTATTTTTGGAAATTCCATATTTGTTAGCCTATATTATTCTAGCCTATATTATTAGTCATCGTAGTCATGTTAAGAGTGCATTTGCTATGTACGTGTACTTTTATTTTTTAAGGGCAAATGCATGCATTGACGTGATTTTTTGTTAGACTGCTAAAATGTTGCCAGTGATTTGAATAATACAGGGTGAGACAAAAAAAGGGAAACCCAAATGCCGGGACTATTGTTTTAGTGAAGTTCTGCATGTAGCACTTTCCAAATCTAGGATATGAAAGCCCAATTCATGGCTTTCTTTTAGTACAAGAATCATTCAAAACACTCATGTACTTTTCAAGTTACGGAATGTTAAACGCAATCACCGTTTTAAAGTTCTGTCCACGGATCACAAAAAGGTAAGTGTTCTTTCAGCAAAACGATTACAAATCACATATGGATGTGTGTGAGTGGTTTTCGTTTTGCTGAAAGAACGCACACCTTTTTTTGTGATCCGTGGACATAACTTTAAAATGGTGGTTGTATTAAATTCCGTAACTTGAAAAGTACATGAGTGATTTGAATGATTCTTGTACTGAAAGAAAGCTTATGAATTGGGCTTTCATATGCTAGATTTTGAAAGTGCTACATGCAAAACTTCACTAAAAAATGATCCCGACATTTGGGTTTTGCTTTTTTTGACTCACCCTGTATGATCCGGCCATGCACGGATTGAAAGAATAACAACACAGATTCATACTTGCAGTCACTCAGCCATACTATTCAAATGCAGATAAAAAATTATGGACTATTTTTATAATTCTGTTCCTATCGCCACTGTGCATGTGCTGTTAGAGTGCTCTTTAAATAACGTAGTAAATATACTCTCAAGTGCATATTTATGAGTTTAGATATGAAGGTACCGGTAGGAGTAAAATGACAATTCTCATAAAAATCACGGAAGTAATGGATGGCGAGTGCGTGTACTTTATCAAAGCTGGTCGTAAATAACTCTTGCAGTTTTTTAGTAAAAAAAACAAGACCTGCTAATTTTTGTGTGTGTGAGGAAATGGAGGAAAATGCATCATTTCTGTTTACTACAACTGTAGATATGTCAAGCATGCTGTGAGAGATCAATGCAAAGTATTTTTACTTTTGTACATGTGCGTGTATGTGTTGAAAATGCCTAAAACGAACTGAAGCTAATAACTTTGTTTTGTTATAGAAAAAGAAACAAACTCTAAAAAGTGGATTTTGGAAATTTGATATAAATCAAATCAGGTTTTGCCCTTCACCGACGTATAAACACTGTATACTCAGTGTGTTACCTCCCGAGTGAAAGTTGGAAAAAATCACTCGGGTGGGACTCGAACCCATGGCCTCCTGCTTTCTAGTGCAGATGTCTTACCACTCGACCACCGAGCAAAGGGGATTGGTTGGCTGGTTCGAATCTGATGTACATCATGAAGGGCAAATCCTAATTTGATTTACATCAGCCCGACGCAAAAATTCCATCTCATGAATAATGTGTAATAAATTACTGTATACAATGCACCAATTTTAAGAGAAAATCTGTTCTGAGTTGGATCACTGGCTCTTGACCAAATTGTACCGGTAGCATAACATGTACGTTTAACATGTTTGGAAACCTCACTGTAAAATGAAGCAAGTTTTACTGAGTGTAATTAATTAGTGAAAAGTAGCCAGTCCGAATATTCATTTCTATTAAATATCTACATGTTTCTGTCTTTCATACAGCCCCACCTGGAGTCCTGTGCATACAACATGGCCGCCTGCACAGAGTGCTCGGCGATGGTTGCTAGGAACCATTTGAAGGACCATCGACAGTTTGACTGTCCTAAGAGAAATACGACATGTGAGTTCTGTGGTGGTCAGTTCCCTGGACAGAGAATGGAGGTAGGAAAAGGAATCACTTTTACTCATTTTACGACTGATACAAATTTGCTTACCAAAAAAGGTTATTTGGCCGGCAAGCTGGCTGGTTAGCTGGCTGGTCAGCAGAATTAGTTGAACAATAGAATTTGTAGTTGGGAAGTAAAGCTGGTAATGTTTTCTCAGACTTTAAGCCCTAAAAGGGCCGAGGGGTGGAATCCGCCCCCCCCCCCCTTCAACTTTTTCCACGATAGCCTTGAAATTCTTTGTTTGTTCGCGACCCGAGCTGTTATGAATTTTTAGCCTCAAGCCTTGCGCATCCTTTGATACCAAAACATAAAAATCGGACCACGGGTTGCCGCACAGCAAAAAAATTTCCGGCGCTTAACTGAATTTTCCCACATACGTCTTATACACAGAGCAGAATTACCATTTGTACATATGAATAATTCCAAAACCCTTTGACCTATAGTCCTGAAATTTCTTGGGTATGTTCATGATGTGATGAGTTGCTCTATGCATGTACTGAGTTTCAACATTTTTCATCACTGGATGGCCGAGATATTAGGTCAGGGAGATATCAGAGAAAACTCAGAGAAATTTGTTTTGATAAAGTGCTGGAAACCCTCTATTATGTGGTTATAACGCTTAAAGTGCACTATAATGAATATCCAAGATTTTTTTTCCTTGCAACAAAACACTGAATGTTTTAACAGTTTGTTTGCATTTTCACTTTGCCCTTTGTCACAGCATCATACGGGGCGATGCCAGCTCGAAGTCGTCTTCTGTGAAAACAAGTGTGGGGCTCAGCTGCAACGCAGATACATCAACGCTCACATGATGAACGAATGCCCCAAGAGACAGATACCGTGCAAATACTGCAGCAAAGAATTCATCTTTGATACATTACAGGTAAGATGGGTATAATTAACGAGAAGGGGGTGGGGCTATGTCTGTTTGGTAGGGGGAATAATCTTTTGTTTTATACCAGTAGATGGATGATTTTACAAATTTGGGGTCCACTTTTTGTGTGTCGGTGTTACGTCAGACATCTAGGATTTTATAATTCCGATGCACTCCTTAACCTGAACTTCCTAGTGTCTTTTACTAAGTACTGGACCAAGTCCGCCAAAATCCATCACTGACCCCTGTTTCAGATAATGCATTAGGACCAAATCCGCTGAAATCCACCACAAGACCACCGCTACCATGACTACTATACATGTAGATGGATTTTGATGGACTTGGTACTCATTGCTTGCCTATGAAAATCCCCGAAATGGGGGGTGGATTTGGATGGATTTGGGAAGGTTAGGGTTAATGCAGTTGTCCTCCAAGAGTGAATGTGAATAACAAACTACCTACCCGACAAATAGAAATTGTTTGTGGTCATTCTTTATGATACTTGAATGGCAAATTACAAAGTACCAAGGTAACAGGGACAGGAAAAACGTCGCACTTTGGACCCTGAATTTGTAGAATCACCGGCATACGCAACCCACAAAACTGCTAGATTTTTGCTTGTTTGTTTGTTGTTTTTTACGAAATTCCCCTTGATCTAATTGGACATTACATCATCAAGTTGTCGTGCCTAAAAAATAAATCCCAGAATTTGGCTTTCATGTTTTCAGTAATTAAAAAGGGTTTAGTCAGCCACCATTGTTAATATAAAGCAAGTCTGCAGCTTTTCTTGGCCTGGCAATCAACTTTCCACGTATGTGTTATTTTTTTGTGACTACCAAGTTAAAAAAAAAAGTTGCCACTATCATCCAGGCCACAGGAAAAAGTACAGCACACCTACATTAAAAGAGTCAACCCCAATAGTCAAAAAAAGAAAAAAAATATGTTCTTTCAGGGGTGTGATTTTTCCGGATTTTTCCGGATTTCCGGATTTTTATCTAACGTCTGCGGAATTGTTTTGCAGATTCCGGATTTTTAACGTTTTCTGTTTCCGTAATAATATCGCCCAAAAACTTCTGGCGAAATATAGGCTCTAATTTACGATAATGGATGGACTGGTGACAAGTCTAATGCAGTGCGGTCAAGAACCTAATAGACAATAATGCAGTATGCGCAGTGGAGTACTTGAGGACCAGACTAAAAATAATTTTCAATGGGTTTGCAGCACCTCGTGTTTGTATATCGCGTGTGGGTGTGTGTGAGTTTGTCTTACATACGCAGTGTGGACTTCCGAACAAAAGACGTCCACATAATGTAGGTAGCACCGACGTTGTGTGGACTTACCCCACGTCCACACAGTGTTTCCCCATTTCTGGAAAACAGGTTTAGAGGCATTTTTGGGTTAGGTTTATCTGTAGCAGAATGAAGAGAAACACTAAAGGGAATCATAGAAAAAAAATTGGGTTGAAAGAGTTTTCACAGTTTGAGAAAAATGAGTTTTTTCACTGGTTTTTCTTAACTACACGAAAGCAATGGAAAGTCCACACTAGTCATGTGAAACAAGTATGGGTGTGTGTGTATTGTGCATGTAGTGTGCAGTGACGATCGTGTGCTAGCAATTCGCAAACACATTGGTGTCAATATTGCCGCGATTTTGTCAAGGAATTCAAGAGTATGGCTGGAAGAACTGGTAATAAAGTGTCACTGTGGATGGAAATCAGTTTGAGCTGCAGTAGTGCTTTGAAAAATAGCCACCACCAACACAAAATTTCAAAAATGTTTTGGAAGCCTGGGGCTGGGACTGGAGTTTAAAGTAAGATTAAACTTTTTTCAGCACCGTTCATATTGTTTTGTGTGAATCGTTTCTCTCTGCAACATGCAAAAGTAATAACATCACACACAGAAAAAGCCTTTATGAATCAATCACATATGGATTATATTATTTAATGACCAGACGTTTTTTCTTAATTTTTCCCCCATTTGTTTTCTTTACTGAAGCGACAAAATTTGCTAACATTACAGAAATTACAGATACAGTACATAAAATGTACATGCCCTAGGCCTATATATGGACATACGTGCATGCATATGTATACATGTACATCTATACAAGTACATGTACAATAATACATGCACATGTACATGTACATGTACATGTATATTACATGTCAACCGAAGTTCGTGGATTTTTCATTTTTGTCCAATCACACCCCTGGTTCTTTATTCGCCTCGGGCAAAACCACAGCTTTTCCGGCGTGCATTTAACTTACGCGTCTCTTTTGCTTTGAAAAAAAATAAAACATGGACAAGTTTATAATAGTTAATAATAGTCTTCTGTGGAGGGATCAACTGACTCCGTGAACCCATCTCCCGCAGAGATACCCCAGCCTGCCCCATATAACAATGATCCAGTTTTAGTTCACTTTCTCAATAAACGGCTCATTTGTTATCTCCATTGTACCGGTATCTATACACGTAGAAAAGTTGCCTTGACAGAGACTAATGTTCAGAGGAACTGAACCGAGACTGGCCTTGTCTAACTTGGGCATTTAGGAGTACCGCGCGACTGGGCTTTAGACAACCCCCAAGTCGGACTTTCTTCAAATAAACGGCCAGCACATTCAACAAGCTTGCCCTAATTAGCTTGTAAAATATATGTTGTAAGGCTAGTTGAACTGATCCTAAACTACAACGTTGAAAAAGGCTGGGCAGTCATGAAAAAAAAGCTAATTTCACTAACAAAAAAAAGTTTCCCACCTGCTTTTATAATAGGTTGAAAAAAATATATTTTAAAACCATTTTTATTCCCTAGTCTGGTTCCCTAGACAAGACAATTATTCCCGATGCCCATGCCTAAATTGTAGGTCAGGCAGCCTCCGTGGCTAAAAATCAACTTAACGACATTGACGGCCCTTTTCAAAGCTCGGCTTCGTTTCCGATTTCGCTTTATCACTTTTGTCACAAATTTGTAAATGAATCACTTGCTTTGTAATATTATACAGTTATGATAATACAGTTTGATATTTCTGTAAGATAACATTGACTAATGTTGATCTGGAATCTTCAAAATTAGGCACCCAAATAGCACTGTTAGCAGGCGGAGCCGAATGAAGACCGAGTTTTGGAAAATCTTGGTAACGGTCGTCAAATTCAAAATAGTACATGACGCAGCAAAAGTTCGCCCATACAATCCGAGTATACTTGATGCACAAAATCGTCGTTGAATTTCAAGTTTTCTTAATGAAAGCAATGAATATTAATTATCAACTCATTTTAAAAAGTTGTTAATCAGCAATTAGCAGTTAATTAAACCTATATTATACTCGGAAATACTCGGGCGCTATCCAATTGTCGACGAAATGAACTCGGCAAACTTCGGACATTTTCAGAAAAAGGAGGAATTCCTCCTGTTTTAGTCACGTGACGTACATAGTATTACAATGTATTACCGGAGGCTACCTGACCTAAGATTCATCAGGAAAAGTCAGAATCTTTTGGTCTGGGAACTAGGCCTGGGCGACTATCAAATTTCAATAGTCGCGGCGACTATCAATAAATAGTCGCGACTAGTGGACTAGTCACCACTAATTGCATTGTTTATTTATCCATTAAAACCACTGATAAGGCGTCCGTGGATCTGCGTTTGCATAACACAAAGGGATACCCACACACTAGGCTTACCACACGCCGGCCCCACACAGCATTTCTACACTAACCAGTCGGTGGAATATCATTTTTTTTTTTTTTTTTTTACGTATTATGAATACCCCCCGTAGAACCGCGCCTGCCCCGCACATGAAAAATTAACAAAACGTCAGCCTTTTAAGGAAGGAGGAACTACCATGTGGTTTTGGATCCCAGGCTTGAATCAGACCAGGGCCCCGCACATGAAAAATGAACAAAACGTCAGCCTTTCAATTCAAGGAAGGAGGAACTATCACATGGTTTTGGATCCCACACGTGATAATAAATCGGACCAGGGCCCCGCACATGAAAAATGAACAAAACGTCAGCCTTTCAATTCAAGGAAGGAGGAACTACCACATGGTTTTGGATCCCACACTTGATCGGACCAGGGCCCCCGCACATGAAAAATGAACAAAACGTCAGCCTTTCAAGGAAAGAGGAGCTACCACATGGTTTTGGATCCATCAATTGTAAAAGTGTGGCAAAAGAAAAGTATGTTTTGGAAAGCCATAGTTAAAACAATTCATTGTCAAAGTTATGCTACTTTACTACAGCTAGGTTTCCAATACACATTGTAAATGTACATGATATGGCCATAATGTTCTAATTTAGACCAACCCTTAAAACACTATAGACCCCTATTTGGTACTTCCATTGTCACTGCATGTACATGTAAAGAATAAAAAAAATAAAAAAACAGTTTTCAGTTATGACACTCTGTGCAAAGGCATCTGTTCAATAGGGTAGTTTATTTTGTCTGTGCTTAAAAAGTTTGTGATGATTTTATTCAAAGACTCTGTTTGAACAGAAATCGTACATCTTGACCATTGCTTCAAACAAAAGAAACACATGATCACATTTCTAAGGCCAAGTAAAACAAATTAAAAATTATTTCCCGTCTGGGGTTTTGAAAAAAGGGAGGAGGCAGCCTTAATTTTTTTTCAAGATGGTGAATTTTTCAAGATGGATTATTCCAATTTCTTGATACTTTTGTGTCCATAGGGAGCTGTCACCCTTCTACCAGATTCTAAACATTCATCACTGCTCCACTTTTTTTTCTAAAAGCCCAAAAAAGACAAAAGATATTGCAAATGTATGATTAAAAAAAAAAAGTGGTGGTGGCCGGGAAAAAGAAGCAGGCAGGGACGATAAACTAGTTTATTTTATTACTTGGTCTAATACACTGACTAAACAAAAGAAGAGTTTAACAAGAACTCGGAACTCAAAGAGCCTTTCCTTCTGCATGGCTTAGTTAAATCATAATTGAGGTAATTTGTAAATTCTTCCCATTGCAGAGTCATCTCCATCAGTGTCCCCGGTACCCCGTCTGCTGCCCTAACCGCTGCGACTCGGCCAAGATCGCCAGGGAAGAGGTTGACAAACACATGAAGGATGCGTGTCCGTCTTCCATGGCTAGCTGCCCGTTCGTCCAACATGGCTGCAAACACAGGGTAAATTTCTTATTCTCCCCCCCCCCCCCCCCCTATTTATTTGGCCAGTCGAGTCATCACAAGTCCACCACATATCTAGTCGACAGTTAATCACAAGTTGATTATAAAGTGGGACCGACTGCTTTTCACCAACATTGGCAAAAGTTAGCAAAGCAACCAAAGCAAATGGTCTTCTGCTGTCTTTTCCAAAATGGCTGATACGCAACATAATCACAATGATTCTGTTGGGGTTGAAATTTTCCATTTTCTACATCCCAAGTAATTTCACATCCAGTCAGGATTAATATTTCGAGGATTTTAGGAGCTGTCCATACAATGACACTTGTAGGATTGGCATACAAAACAGGTCGCCGCCATTTTGATAAAAGTTTTTTGACGACATTACTGTTTCACTTGAGGTTGCCACGTCCGCAGGGTGTGACTGAGAAATGTAAATATGTTTGCATGACTGTAACGTGTCCCTACCCTTCAATGGCTTATTGTTACAAGCATTGTGTTGAATGCTTGCTAAGAACTTGTAAGAAAAACTTACAAGCTTACTCAGATGACCAGCAGAGTAAACTGTTACAAACGAAGCATCTCTTTGAATAAGCCATTCGCGAATAACCTATACCCTTTGCGAGTTACATTTGAATAACATCTGGTACACTGACTTGCTCATAATGCTTGGCACATTTTAACTTTGAATTCTCCCGACCAAAAACACTGTTGCTATATCACATGATTTGGGGCAAGCTCTTGCATAGTTGCTTAATTAAGAGACGCTCAGCACCAATACATTGTTCACAATGGGTGAGAATGGCACAAAGACACCAGACCATGCCGGAGCTGGGGGTTGCTACCATAAGGTTTGCCCGAATCACATGATAATGCAACAGTCTCTTTGGTCTGGAGAATTCAAAGTTCATTTGTGCAAAGCATTGAATCAAGTCAGGGTACCAGATGTTACTCGAATTTAATTCGTAAACAGCTTATTGCTTTGGTTTCCTACAAAATTAAGTGATCAGGTTTTCCTCCGATGGCTTCCCAAAACTCACAATACCTTTTTGAATACAATCAAGTCAAAAATATTGCTTTCAAGGTCCCTCAGCTCTTTCCCACAAAGTAAGTAAAGCTGGAATGATTAGAATATAAGAGTAAACAAAGAAATATGGAATTAAATGTTATGTTCTTTATCCATCCAGGGTCCAAGGTACACCATGGAAAGACATCTCAACGAGAACACGAAGGAGCACCTCAATCTGACGTGTCACGTCGTCCGCCGTCAACAGAAACAAATCCACGACCTCCGCGCGCAGCTAGACACTCTCTCCATAAACATGGACGGCAAGTTGCTCTGGAAGATCACAGACTATGCCTCCCGGTTTGCAAAATCCAAGCTGGAGGACGAGTACGAGCTCCGCAGTCCTGTCTTTGCAACCAGCCGTAACGGCTACAGGCTTCAGGTCTCCGCCTTCCCCAACGGCAACGGGTCCGGCGAGGGCACGCATCTGTCCATCTACATCCGGACGGTCAGCGGGGAGAACGATTCCCTTCTTCGTTGGCCCTTCATCCACCCCATCTCCTTCACCTTGCTTGACCAGGCCGAGGACGGACTGAAGCCGTCCCACGTCAAGGAGTGCTTCACCCCCGACCCAACTTGGAAGAACTTCCAGCGCCCAAGTAGGGATGTGTACACGCTCGGGTACGGCTACCCGACATTCGTCTCGCACGTTTTCCTCAAGACCAAGAACTACATCAAAGACGATACCCTTTTCATCAAAGTAGAGGTGGACTGCTCCAAGATTAACAACATCATTTGAAGAGAAATAGAGTCCAGCCATTGGTCAAACAGCCACTCGTTGCCTTGGCGACAGTGTAACCGTGGTGATGATTCTATACGAGCAAGACTTTGTCTTCAAAGGAATACTGTCAAAAGTTAACAACTTTGTCTGAAATTTATTCCAGTTTTGTTTTTGGGCGGTCGTCTTTGACACAGATATTCAGACCCAATGTGTAAAAACATTGTTCTTGTGTTTCTGCAAGACTTATGTCACATAACCAAATATAACTATAAAGAGTTGAACATTAACATTCATCCAACATACCTCACATATTGAAAAAGTAAGTTCTCAAAGCTTCATTAAAACATCTTTTTTGTACAGTTTGTACAAAACTGAAGACTTAGTTTTATGTTACCTATTGTGTTTAAAACCCATGTCTAAAAAAAATCTTTTCAGACGGGTGAACATATATAGACATCAAATTTCATTGGAAGTGAAAAAAAAGAAGTGTTTTGTAAGTTACTTGTACTTTCATGTAAAAAGAAATACCACCTATACATATAAGCTGCATTCTTCCATTAAATAAAATAACCTGTAAATATTACTTTTCAGTAATTTACAAAGGGAAATATGTGTTATATACTTACAGATCCAGAAAAGGATCCATTGTGAAGAAAGATGTATTTCTTTGAATAATGTTATGTCACTTTCTGAGTGATGAAAAATTATCCACAGACCAAAACCTGCCCTTACAGGGCGCTACACACACCTAGCAACAACTAGGGGCAAGTTCTAGCAAGGTCCAGTGGTTAACTAGTGGTTGATTTGTGACGTACCTTACGCCTGCGCACTAATAGCAACGTGCGAACGTCTCTTGTCAAACGCTGGTCAAAATGTCATCGCAAAATTCTGGATCCTGGCTCTCTGCTGTATGTTATGAATGCGTGCGGCTATTGGTTACCAACGATGCAACTAGGCCCAGTAGGCTGGTTCCAAATAGTTGACTAGCGTAGTCAACCACCGTTGACTAGACAGAGTTTGGGCTAACTTTAGTGGAACTATGGTTAACTTTTGGTCAACAATAGTTCTAGCGCGAACTTGCCCTATTGTGACATTTTCTGCATCTTCATGAATACATGTAGGCTCCAGGATTTTCCCCATTTCAATCAGCTGTGCATGGTTGGCCACCCAATGCTGCAGAGGAGGTGTGATACAAGACTTGTGGTGATTTATGAAAACGATGTGCGTTATTTAGGTTTTTTTTATCTCACAAGAGATACAAGATATGTCATAGGAGATACTTAACAATCTTAATTTTGAAGTTCACAATTTAGTAGCCAAGCCATTTACTTTAAAGGTGTTATGTCTGTAGTCATTAACAACTTTTGACCCTTGAGTGTTTCACTTTTAATAATGAAAACACCATCTTTAACCCTCAGTAAAAGACTCGCAGGTAAAAATTCAAGTTGAAACCTGTTGAAGTGGACATTGGTGACCGGTTTTAGCTGGTTTTGAACTTGTTAAACTGGTTCAAAGCCAGTTATACCAGTTTATACCAATTCTAAACCAGTCACCAATTTCCACTTCAACTGGTACCAGTTGAAACCAGTTGAACTGGTTCCAGTTGAAACCAGTTGAACTAGTTTCAACTGGAATGTTCACCTAATTCCTGGTTTCTTTTCCTGCACACAAGTGGATCCAGCCTCGGAGTAGACTTTTATTATTGATTCCAATCAGGCATAACTAGTGTAATAAAGTCACTGTTGATCCTCAAATAACTAAGCATAGGCTGTTATTTTCTGTCGATTTCTCATGCAAATGTGAATAACTTGTTTGCTAGAAAAAGAGCCGTTCAAAAAAATTAATCTGTTTTGGGGGGTGAAACTCAAAAATAGCATGGACGATTTATCTTTGAGAAGCTCTTTAAGGAATTTTGATTGTGGACTTACTTCCCAAAACCCAACTTCAGATTCCCAGAAACTTAAATTTGGTGGTGTGTGTCCAATATTAATAGTGTTACTTCAATTATTCGACAGAGTCCTCTTTGACTAATAAGAGATCAGTCTAAATGTACATAAAATTGTTCATCAAAGACAACAATCATCTGATTAACAGTCAGTATTAACCACCGATGCACTTTTGTAATGTCAAGAGTATTTTTGTCCGCACCAAAACCTCACTGAAATGTCAGGAATCTTTCAGTTATATTGTTTCGATCTTTTTTGTATTTAAAGTAGTATGTTTGAAAAGGTGTAACATTACACAAAACCAGCTCATGTGAAACACTGTAGAAATTAAAATACAGGTATGAATATGTATATGAATATGTATATATGTAAATTTTATACAGTGTATATTTATCATGACTTCCATAAGAAAGTGTATCAATGAAACTTCCATGTTCAGTCTTGAAGAAAAAAAATCACTTCGTCATTTTCACATAGCCTATCACTTGTATAAGTCTGTTTAAAATATGTATGTTGTATGGTGGGCAGAATATTGTGACAAGACACGTTTGTGTTCTTTGAAGACTGTAGACCAATGAATGTTTACTTTTGTTTAAAACCAAACTTTTGTTGTTTTGTTGTTACATTGGCTGAACAAAAACAACAGTAAAAGTTGCAGGTGTAACAAGTTTTTCTACTGATTCACTGGTAATTTGCATCAGTGCAGACAAGTGAGAAAGAAAATAAAAATGTATGGAAGATAAGTTAAAATAAAATACTGTTCTTGGAAATGATACTGAAAAGTTGACCGAAATGTTTGTTATAATAGGCTGGGGGTATTGTCATCACCTATGGTGTCCTAAAGTGGGCCAGAATGCAGTCAACATGTTCCAAAAATCAATACTCATTGAAGAAGCTTGATGAAGTTGTCGTAGTTTAGCAGATGGGTCATAACATTGTTCTGTTTGATGATAAAGGCAATGGCATTTGGCACACAGTCAGAGTTTGTCTTGGGAAAGATATTTGGCTATAGGGCCATTGCATATTTGTCCTTTGAAAAAAAATATCATAGAATGAAGACATTTAAAAAATGGCGGCCATTGCATGTTATTCTATGATATATTTTTTTCAGAGGACACATCTGCGATAGCCCTATAACCAAAAATCTTTTTTCAATGTGCCAAATGTCATGCTTTTATCATCAAAATTCAAACGAACAATTTCATCATATTGTGCACCAATCTGCCTGACTAAGAGATTTGCTGACCTGAGTTCAATTGAAGTATTTTCAAATCTGTATGACATCATCCAAAATACTGTTTTCTAATTGGACGAGGCAAATATTCAATTCAAGTCCAAGACAGATTCATATTACATTGATTATTGAAAGGTACAAGGGGTTTCTGGACCTACGAAATCCAATTTGAGCATTATTAAATTTCTATGACATCAAAATACTGTTTCTTGATTGGTTGAGCCAATTTTCATTTCAAAACATAGAAATATTATTAGAGCGATTTCTGGAACCAATTCCGTCAGATTTATTATCAACCCTACTTTTTAAATTAAATTTGGCCATAAAATTTACTTTTTTTCAAACAATGCACCCTTTGGCGGTAAAGGAACATCAAACACCATTCAAAGGCCTTTCTAATAGAAAAACATTTTTGAGTGATCATTTTATCTCAACTTTTATCCCCAAATTTTATCCGAGACTGAAGAAATGCTTGTTGCATTGAATTGAAATTTCGTATACAATAAATCAATTATGACAGATATCAAAAATCAGTTAAAATTGGAGAGGAATGGTAAAACAATAATAAAGATGTATATAGCGAAAACAACGTCCCGTTTTAACACGGCAAAAACCTACCATATAAAGCAATCTTTAATTTCTTTCAAAAGAGGGCGCGCTACACAATTAGTGGTCATTACCGTAAACGAATTTCTGCCCGGGTTTGAAACCGAAAGCCATTTTCCATTTCCCTAAGCAAAATTAAAGCGGTTGACAAACACATTTCCCACTCCCTAAGCAAAAACAAAAACGGATAACGAAACCCATTTCCTAAATCCCTAAGCAAAAACAAAAACGGACAACAAAAACCATTTCCCAATTCCATAAGCAAAAAGAAAAACGGATAACGAAACCCATTTCCTAAATCCTAAGCAAAAAGAAAAACGGATAACGAAACCCATTTCCTAAATCCTAAGCAAAAAGAAAAACGGATAACGAAACCCATTTCCTAAATCCTAAGCAAAAAGAAAAACGGATAACGAAACCCATTTCCTAAATCCTAAGCAAAAAGAAAAACGGATAACGAAACCCATTTCCCATTTCCTAAGCAAAAAGAAAAACGGATAACGAACCCATTTCCCATTTCCTAAGCAAATTGGATAACGGACTTCGAATCCAAAATCCCATCTCGACAGCCAAACGGAAAACGAATAACGATTCCCACTTCCCTATTCGACACCCAAACGGAAAACGAATAACGATTCCCATTTCCTATTCGACAACTCAAACGGAAAACGAATAACGATTCCCATTTCCGAAATCGAAAGCAAATCGGAAAACGAATAATGATTCCCAAATCCCAAATCCCAACAAATGAGGAATTGGGATTTCGCAGTGCATGATGGGAAATTCTGAATTTTTTCGCAACTACGTCCCCAGGGTTTATTTTATTTGAAAACTTCTTTTCCTATATTAATATGTACTCGTGAGTGCGTACTGCTCATCACCACGTAAACGAGATTGTATTTGACACCGTTAATTATGAAGAGCGCCACCCGTATGCTTTTGTTCACGAACCAATATCTCGCGTGGTTCGTTGCGCATTCATAAATTGGCGCCGGGCAAAATGGTGGAGGACGACTTCAGAAAAACGTCACAACAGTCTGAGTAAGTTTGCCACTTTTGGCCTGAAAATTAACCATTTGACCTTCGAAGGTTAGGTAGAAGTGTATGAACTACTGTAGATACTTCTGAAGTTGATGCAGTGTTGGAAAAACGTTTCGAAACTAACGTTCAGAGAAGGAATTCCCTCGGTTATCTTTTTCATTTCTCCATTTTCTGAGAATCTGGCAAGATGGGAGTGGTTTATAAGAAAAAAATTACTAGGGATTAGAAAGAATGTTGCAACCTGACTTTTTTCTTCATATAGGCCTATCCCAAATCATTTCAATAAAGGTTAGCCATTGCAAAAATGTTGAAAAGACATGAATCTTAGAATGAGAAACATTTCCAATTTTGTTTCCAAAATTTTCCAAAATTTTCTTGACTCTGGGTAGACTTTGTACACAATGCTAAAGTGATGTTTGGATACTACATTCTTTCCTCTTAAATTTTTGAGAGCAATGGAGAAAAAAGTGGAGTCAGGTTGAAACATTGATTTCGTTTATATTTTTAACTAATTTTTTGATTCTGTGCATTAACCCACTTCACTCCTCCAAAATCCTCCTGGCGGTTTTGGAGGATTCTAGAGGAATGAGGATGAATGGTGATTGAATCAAATGAGGATTCTGGAGGATTGAGGATGAATGGTGATTGAAGCACATGAGGATTTTGGAGGATTGAGGATGAATGGTGAATGAAGCACAAGAGGATTTTGGAGGATTGAGGATGAATGCATTTTGAGGCAGGACTGTCTGATGATTTTGAAGGATTTGGCGTTGGTTATCCTTCATTTAAACAAATTTAGTGCAAAGTTTTGGGATGAGGAGGATTTTGGAGGATTGAGGATGAATGCATTTTGAGGCAGGACTGTCTGACAATTTTGAAAAATTTAGGCGGAGTTGAAAAATTTTGGAGGATTTTGGAGGATTGAGGATGGTTGTAAGCAACAAGGGCCTAGAGGGTTAGGGTTAATAAATGTAAATTGATAGCGGCAAGTTTCAGGGGCAAATGCTGAACAAAAATGCAAAACATTAAGTCTTTTAGAAAACATCAGAACCATGAATG